ATCTGTTCTACCCTGTGACAGAAGCCATCGTGGTGATTCCGGGCAGAGACACATGTACACAATCCCGATCGTGCCGACTCCGGTCATACCGGCTAGTAGCCAACGCCAATCCGGCAAAAGGTAGGCCAATAGAGCCGTTACGGCACGTGTGCCAAACGATTGTAGTACAGTCCAACAGCTGCACATGATCGAACGCCAACGAGCGGTGGTCATCTCGAAAATTTGAACAAACAAAACATTCAAACGGGCACTGTCTGCCGCACCGAGAACAAACTGAGCCAGACACAAACAGATCGCATTCGGTGAGAACGAGGCCAAGTAACCGGTGATGAGAAATACGACAAACCACACGATCAAAGTCGGACGTCGACCAAATCGATCCCCGGCCCAACCGCTCGTATAGTATCCTATCAACATGCCCAGCATAAACATGGTAGTGTTGAGCGGGGCAATCCAGGCTCGGTCACAAGTCAAATCGAACGAGGCGATCACACTGGACGGATATTGATTCGGCACATTCTGATAAACATAACCAGTATCACATGGGACCGGCTGACCGGAAGCAAGTTGAGCTAACTGATCCGGAGTTGTGCTAGTCCAATCGGTTTGATTCTGTTCAACCAATTGCCACACGCCTTCTAGTCGGTGATAACACTTATCCGGATAATACGTCTCTATGTGAGCTCGTTCAGTGTTATTCATGCCCCACAGAATGTTGACTGCCTCTGTCATCGTGACGTTATGTAAAATACTCTCGACCGGTTCCGGCATACGACAACGATAGGCAGGTTCGGTAAGACCGAATACGGTGAACACTTCGTATGTAGGTAATCCAATAACTCCAAGCACGAGAACAGACCATTGCCAAAATCCATGAGAGCCGACAGTATGTTCCAGAACCCGATCGAATGGATCCATCTGCTTCTCCCTGTTCGCTTTGGCCTCGGCCCCGGACGACTTGGAGCATGTTTTCCACTTCGGACAATGTGATTGACAAGTGCGGAACGATGTGCACGAATTGCAGGCTCTGATTCGTTTGCACAGACTAGGCATGATCAGGCGCGGAAGTTTGTTCCAAACTGAGAGAAAGAGAGAGATCGAGATGGTGCAGTACAGTTATAAATTTGCATTTGTACAACCCCGGGGACATGAATCAAATCACACTTATTAGCATGCATCTTGTTGTTTGATGTCAGCACGTCTACGGATGCATTTCCGTGTCAGTCCGTCTGTCTGTCTGCCTGTCTCGTTTCTCGGACAGACAAATGCGAAACCTAACCGCCAACCAATCACCTCAATACATCCAACAGGTAAACCCGAAATCGCTTCGTCTGTCGTCTGAATCCAAAATGAGTTGAAAAAGCAAGACGAAAAACTTTGAGCATTGCATAAATTGCCAGAGGCAAGCGAGCGAATCCTTTGGAAGTGGCAAACGCATCCACAAACACACACATGGACACATGCAAGCAGTTTACTTCAGTTTCCGAGTTTCACCGGAAGTGAAACTGCGCATATTTGTGGGCGTGTGTAAGCGCCTGCATGCGTGCGGGCGCACCTGCGTGTCGGATTATTGTAACTGCAACTGGCATTAATTTGGTTGGATCACGTCAGCTCTACCCAAATTGACCTTAGTAGTCACAGTCGACCAATGAGTGAGTTTTGTTTGATTTTTATATAGTCAGTGAGATAACTACCGTGAAATGAAGACATGATTGCTAATCACAACGCATGATTGCTAATTGTGTTGTGTCGTTTTGTTTGATTGTAAAACGTGCGTCCGATGGAGAGATAAAGTTACATATGACCACGGTCAGAGTTCATTCGA